ACTTATACTTATACTTATACTTATACGTATATGTATATGCTTATTCGTGGTCTCCCAGGTTGTACATGTATACTTCCATTCATATCAGATTTTGGCTTTTTCGCATATGTATGTACTGACGTACGTATGTATGTGCCTATGCATGTATGTATATATGTATGCATGTATATTTGTAAATTTGTATGTATACACATACGTACATACTCTCTGGCGTCAAGTCAGCAAGAGCTCAGGCTTCCGAGAAGCCGGAGACGACAGCTCCTGCGATGCCCATGCAAGGAGGAGCTCAGAGACCTCCGGCAAGTTGGGGTCCAGTCAAGTTCTACTGGCTAAACAAGGACTGGTGTAGGGCTTATCAGGGTTGAGGGTTTTCGGTCTGGTTCAGCAAGGACTTGAAACTCTGTCCTGCGGTTTTCCTAATATCCTGTTTCAAGCCTTTGTAGCCTTTGTGGGGATCCTAGGAGGGCTCGAAGGGATCTTCAAGGATTTATAGGTTTCGATGTTGGAACCTGATGAAGAAGATTTGAATCTTGCCAAGGCTCTTTATCGGGCTTCTGTTCTTGGGAGGGGTGCTATGCCACAGGAGTATCACCAGCGCATCCCATAATCAGAGCGCTCAGGGCCCGGAAATTCTCCCAGCAAGGCCAACGCAATATGTTGCAATGGAAAAGCGACATTGCGCGTCACTGCACAGCTCTCAATCCCGTATTGAGTTTTAAGATTATTCTAGACGAGGTTTCCCTTTGACGGACCATGATTTGAAAAACCTTGAATCTATCGGAAACCCGATGCCCCAAAGCTCTTGTACTGCAGGATGGAGTTTGGGAGTGTCTCCTGTGCGACAAAGTCGCCACCGAAGAGCACGTACTGAGCAAGGGTCATATCAAGTATGCTAAATTTCCCGACGCTTGGCAGCAATGGACGGTGTTTGCTCAGATTGGTTGCTATGACTTTGCTGCCGATTATAAGTAGTCGTAGTAGTAGTAGTAGTAGTAGTAGTAGCTATGCGCGC